AAAGTGGCAGCAGAATGTATAAGGAACCATTAACGAGTAGAAAATAATCACAAATATACAAAAACATATACCTTTGCTTACATTCATACATACACATACATATATATGTGTGCGTACACATGCCTGCACATATTGTGGAAGAAAAAAGAAATTGTTGAAAATATATTTCAGCGAAACGGAATTTTAAATTTGGAAATCCAAACGGAGAAACGGAGAAAGTTGTTTGTGTCTGCGCTGTGCTGGCTTTAGTGAAAAGTGGAAAAAATTTCGCGGAGAACCAGAAATGAAAAGCACGAAAAAAAGCAAAAACAATACTTGTTTGTGAAATAAACACAGCAAATAATTTTTGTCACATAAAATGAGTAAAGCGCAGAAAAATTATGTGCTTTTTCACAAAGTGAAAATGTGAAAATATTTGAATAAAGCGGCTATTTTTAGTGTGTAAGTGTGTGCGAAGTAACGCATCAAACGCGACGGCTGGGCTGGAGAAAAGTGCTTTCTACAGCTGTGTGACAAAAATTTATTCGCCGTTACAAAAAAGTCACGTGAACAATTTAAAAAGCTCAATTAATTAGAAAATACAAAATAAATAATTTGTGTTGCTAAAAAAAATAAATTTTTTCAAGTCTACAATTTTAAAAATAAATATCTAAATTGCACGCAATGCAATTTTGCATGCCACCAATCATTTAGACACCCACAACACACTGCAGTTCACTCCATCAGCATAAATCTAAAGTAAAATGCGAAAAAATAGACACAGAAAATAAGTAAAAAAAAAAAATGCAGTCGCTCGCTTGCAGTGGCCTGCCGAAACCTCAAAGTTAAAATTAAGTGACAATAATGCAATACATTTCAAATGCAACAACAATAATTCGTATTGGTTGCAGCGACGCAGCTAAAACGCTTGCCAACACAATCAGCACCAGCAACAGCACTAGTCACAGCAACAGCAACAGCAACAAAAATCGCAGCCAAATCAACGCTGACAACTACTACAGCGCGCACTATCCACTCGTAATCTGAAATACCCTAAATTCAAATATTGGAATGAAGAAAATTCCTTAAATTAGTTTTTCGCGAAATGCGCGCGTAAATAGGCAACAATAACAACAACAAGAACAATACACGTTTTTTACCTATACACATACATACATATGTGTACATTCATGCAGGGGCAAGTAAATGTAGCAATACTTCGGTGAAAGCATGTAAATGCACACCCAGTAGGTAAATGGAAAGGGGGATTTCTTATAACTGTTTATATACAATATGATTGAAGTTTATTATTATATTAGTGACGGATTGCGCGATATCGCCTTCCTCCCACGAAGAACTTTTTAATAGAGAAGCGATTATTTGAAGAAAAAACATTTATTTGCTTGGATATGTTGCTTGGTACAGAGATTTTATTCAGGTCCTGTGTAGTAATAGTATGAAATTAGCATATATGCGAGCTGGGCATATAAGGTCGAGAACCGAAATTAATTGTTAGCGTGCTAATTTTCTTACTCGAAGGACTATTATCGATTTAACACTCTACAAAACTTTTAGCAGTGTATTGAGGAGCCAAGAAAGCAACGTGATGGGCTTTCATAAATACTGGAAAATTGCTTTAAGAAGATACTCTACTAAAATTATGCACGACGCTAGAAATACTCCATCCGTTTGTTTGAATGAGTTTGTAGAGGCATAACATCTATTTGGATCTTTCTCGAAAAGAACTCTGTTCGGATGTAGTCAAGACGAGTGTGTAGAATTCTTCAACCCGGCGGTGCCTCAGAACTGAAGGCCCTTTTTTTTGCCTAAGCCATGCAGAAGCAAAGATCTACATCGATCTTCCCAGAAAAAGCGTGATTTTAAATGTAGTCAAGACGATAGAGCGGAATTGTTGAATTCGTGATTAACCCAGTTCAGAAACAAAAATCTATTGCGATCGCTCCAGAAGAGAACAGGGTTTAGATGTAGGCAAGATTATAAACAGAAATTGAAAAAAATGAGGGTAATATTTTCTGAGTGATCTTTTTTTTATTTTTGACTCAGTGAGGTCATCTTTTTTCTTATACAAGTAATTTTGAAAACGTTGCCTTAGTTTCTTAGCTCTTGTTGGGTTCGTGTGCAGCATAATTATTCAGCGGAAGATATTCTGAAATTGGGGCAGAATCTTCTTGGTGAAATGATTGCACGACTGAGGCTGAAACATGACGGTATTCTTACCTTCGGCAAACCAAAAATATAGTCGAAACTGATGTTAGACGTCTCAATAAATTTGTGATAGGCTCAAAGCGCTTTGTCGGTTATAAGGGTCTTTCGATCGAGTATATAGGAGTTCTTAGGCGCCACAATGGATCGGCGTTCTAAGCTGTATAAGTGAGATGCCTGTCAGTAACGACCTCTTAACCTAACTTAACCTGTTTCGGCCAAATTTTTAGAGTAAAGTCCAGCATATGCTTGAAAATTTGTTTCATCTGTTGGCATTACTTATTGGTAGTGTCGTTCAGCTTAATTTCCCTGCTGGGTATAACCCAAGTGCCATTTGTTGATCTTGCGGGCTAAATATGCTTTTTTCCTTGATTTGTTGCCTTTGTTGTCACACACGCTGTAACGTTAGTTGGTCATTTCTTGTGTGATGGTTGTTGATATTGCTTCCAAGTCGGTAAATTTTGGCGAAATATCAGCGGGGACTTTGGCAGTGCTCCGGCAGCGCAATTCCACCTCCACCACCCCAGCCATACGTCTTGCACTGAGGTGACGAACTGATTTCGCAATGCCGACAATCGGTTGTTTGTACTTATTTTGATTATACAAATGTGATTTTTCAACTTGTCACCTACTCGTAGTACATGTAAATGTGTATATGTGTTGGCGCACAGGTGAAGTAGCCGGAGGGGACATAACTATTCCAACAACAATAAAAATTAAATACAATACAACTTAACGTTTTGTAATGATGAGACATTGGACAATGGTTAGAGCGACTGTTTGCGGGGTGGCGCATGAAGGTTGAAAAAATTTAATTTTACCGGTAAAAATAGCCCTCGGACAAAAACAAATCGACTGATGAGCAGCTGAAAGTGGCGAAATTTGAAAACATGCAATTCGTCTAATGGCTGCTGCCAGGCAATTTAACAAAACAATCTAAGCGGTCCACTAAATTTTATTTCTACTTAATACACTTTCTTTTTGCTATTGTTATTGCTAGTTGTTGTTTGTGCAGTTAGTTAGTGTGGACAACGGCACTGATTTTCGGTTTCTCATTACGGCGAGTTCAAAGCTGCCAAAAAGGTGGAGAACAAGGCGAGGCTATAAACCGCTATAAACGCATCGCCCGACTGCCCAAGCAGTCAGGTAGTCAGGTGGTCGCTTGATTCACGAACGCCACACAGCGCGACACAATAACGAAATTGGAATACGATTATTTTGCTTGCTGATTGTAGTCGTTTTTTTCTTCTTCTTCTTGAATTAAATGCCTTTTTCTACAAATGATCTGTCATTCCTTACAGTGACAACAAAAACAAACAACAGTATTGAAATACATATTTACATACTTCTATGTTGCTACAATTGCACAAGTTTATTGCAAATAAATATGCAAATCTCAAATAAATTTAATTTAATTGCCAGCGTTGTAAAGCTGGCCAGCCGAAGGTATGTGCATTGCTGGCTAGTTTGCTGCCTTGCTTGGGGGGCTGGCGGGGCGAGCAGACGCCTGCTAAATTGGGCAGCGCAAAGGTTTCTATTTGCCAGGGCCCCAGCGCAGTAGCTGATCAACAAGCTGGCTGGGTAACCTTTTATTTATTTCGGTCCATTTCATACTTGTGATTGCACAATGAAATGCGACGTTCGAGAATTGCGAAGAAATTGTTGTAATTATTTCTTCAACTTTGAACGATTAACTAAAAAAAAGGTATACTTTAGTATAATTCAAAGTATTGCCCAACTAAAGCTATAACAGTTTCCTATATTTTTTGTGCAATTTGTGGATTTCATCCCAAAGGAACTGCGCCGGCTTGGCGGCCATGATTGAGCTAGCGTTTGAAGGCTTTGAATTTTTGATACCCTGTTCAGATGTAAATTGTTTTCCAGTGAGGATGCTCTGCATCGCGGCAACAAATGTTTGTTAAAAGGGTCTGAGCTTTAAGGCGCGTGAGCCATAACTTCCCAGCCGCTGTTTTCCAAATAGTTTTAACCGGTCTTGCGAGTCGAGCAATGTCATGATGGTAAATTATTGGCTTGTGTCTAGTCGCAAATTCCGGGCGTTTGTCGGCAATCGCTTGCTTCAATTTGATGCATTGTTGTTGGTAGCGTTCTCTATTAACGATTTCACGCAATACTAGAAGTTCATAATACAACATGCACTTCTGATTTCAAAAACTACAGAGCATTATCTTGGCGTCATGGACATTCGGCTTTGCCGTTGATTTGGTTTGTTGGTCAGTTTTCGCATATGATTTTTTGCATTAAGGATTATCATAATGGTTTCGTGTTTCATCACCAGTCACAAACCGATGCAAAACCGAATTTTTTATAGCGCTCAAGCAGCATTTCTGACATGCAAAATCTTCTTACACTGTCTCTTGATTTCAATTCCTAAGGCACCCAGTTTTCTTGCTTTTGAATGTCTCCGTCTGCTTTTGAATATTTTCAAATGGCTGCTTGAGTGCCTACTAAAGATTCTGCGAACTCTCCTTGTGTTTGGCAGCAATATTTATCGAGTTATGCTTCAAGTTGCTCAACTACAAACATTTTTGGCTGCCCAGTAGGTTCTTCGTCTTCCAAGCCAAAATCCTCACTTGCACGTGCAAACCACTTTTGGCACACTCGCTCAGCTAGAGCATGTTCAGCATAAACTTTCACCAAACTACGATGACTTTCTTCATAGCAAAGGATTTTTCATATTAAAGTAATGTAATAGCTAATTTTGAATTTTAGTAAATCATTTTAAAACAATTATCAAGCAGCTGCGTGCATTTTTAGTTTTCAAAATCGAAAATTAAATCAAATTTTTATATATTATATTTGAGTTAATTTTTTGCTATTAAGTCACCACTTAACTTGTTCGAAAAATATTTTTGCGAAGTAGTTTGATTAAATCCAATATATTCATGTCAACCGGAGCGTATGAGTAACATTTGAACCACCTGCTCTTTGAGAATATAATGCAAACCTTATTCTCTCATCCTCTCACCTTTCCACAACCGCTCTCGATCGTGCTCACTTGATTTCACGGGGGATCGCCATGGCAATGCGCTCTTCTTCCGAACCTCTTCTCTCATTAACTGCTCGCTTTTGCAAAACATTCATCAAGCGACGCCGCGATCGGTTTATTTTTGTTTACAATTTCGTTTGTTTTCGAAACAAGTGTCCCAAAATTAAAACAATAAAAACGCCACAATCAAAATAAACACAAATAATGGGCGAACAAGCAAAGCAACTATCAAAACAAATACAACAATTAAAATGCAATACACAAATTTAGGGGAAAAATGAGTGTTCGCTTTGTATGTTTGTATAATCTAATTTTTTGTATTTTTTCGACACACACATACACACACACAAGAATACACTTGTGCTACGTTAAGCCGCAAGACAAATTTGCTTTGACAACGATGAGCCATCGGTGGCGTATTGAAACAACACGCACGCCCAGACAACGCTGCAGCTGGTGAACGCCATTGGCGGACGGACATGCAGATTTTTCAGACGAAGACGAAACGCTGACAACGTCGACTGGCGGAAAGGCGACGACGACAGTGACGATGTTGTCGCTGTGATTGTGTGTGCTGACGCTCATTGCAGTGTGTTTGGACGGCGATAATTACGTTGAGCTGCAACAAACACATACAAATACCGTTGTGTTATTGCATGCAAGTGCTGAGTGTGAGCGCTGTGCGTTGCCTCGTCTGCGTACTCATAAAAACGGAAAAGCAAACTACTATTTAGGCAAATGAAATGTGAAATAAAATCATTATCTCATACACACACACATACTTAAATGTTTATATGCTGATATACAAAAAATACAAAAGGTGTGAATTGATTACTTTTACAAATGGCTTTTGTTTACAATTTTAGCAATAAAATACATACATACATATATATATATACATATAAAATTTTCCGTGTGTGCATAATAAACGTGCATTAAGAAAAAAGTGTGAGAAATTAGTGAAATAATTAATTTTTGCGTGAACTGTAAAGGATTTATGGTCATTTTTACAATTTAAGAATTAACTGAATACTTGCGGAAATCATTTCCAAACGCTAACCGTGCGCGCTTGTGTGCAGAATAAACAAAATATATGTGCGTTTGAACTGAGTGATCGTGTGCATCTCATTTGGATTATGGAAAATGTTACTGCGACCGCAACAGCAGCCACCATACGTCAGCAACAACAGCAATTACAACAGCATCAACAGTTGCAGCAACACCATCAAGAACAACAGCAACAGCATGAACATCAACAGCAATTTTGCTTGCGTTGGCACAATCATCAGGTAAAGAAATTATTAAAATAAACATATTAAAAAACAAGAGAAAAGCCTTAATTTCGGCTGCACCGAAGCTATAATCTTTTAACTTGATTGCGATCGGTTAGATTGTATGGCAGCTATAAGCTTTACTTTTCCGATTTGAACAATATCTACGTAGATTGTAGCATTGTCTTAAACAATAATCCATGTCAAATTTCCTGAATATATCTCTTCAAATAAAAAAGTTTTCCATACAAGTGCTTGATTTTGATGGATCAGTTTGTACAGCAGCTGTAGTCTATATTAGTCCGATATCGGCAGAAATGGCTGAATTCACTCAGCTACCTACGCTGTTTATTTGTATATATACTTTATAGGATCTCCGATGTTTCTTTCTGGGTGTTAAACTTAATATAAGCTGCAGGGGTATGTAGATGTCAGTCACTTATGTAAATGAATAATTTTTAGACAAAAGTTTGGGAAGTACAAAGTAAAGTTTTAAAAGAGTAGAGAGTACGGGTACTATCGGATTTTTTATGAATTATTATGGTTTATATTTTTGATATTCAAAATATGCTCAAGAAGGCATTCCTAATCGGCTCCATTTTGTACTCACTTTAATTGGAGCTACTTTTAGGGAGCTATTTTTTAGCGTCCTACCTACTTTAACTTTAAATAAACTTATAACATTTAAAATGGAAACGATATTATTTTACGTGGGGGAAGTTGAAGCTTCAAATTGAAAATATGAAGAGCGAAACAAAAGATTCAACCGTTAATCTAGATTTTCTTTCTACATCCAAGCCTGCTCCAAGTCAACTCCGACTATAAAATACTTTATGTGATGCCATTAACAAGCAACAACAAAACTGTTATTATGCCCAGCAAAAGTCCAGATCCCAAAATAAAACTTCTAAAATTGTTGCAATCGTCTTCGCCGAAATAAAGTACAAAAAATGTGACATGCACGCGCCCTGCTGTCAATAAAACATTCCTTGCACTTTTCCGCTTCACAAAGCATCACACATTTCAGGCAAACACATTGGGGTCCGGAAGAGATATGGACAACGGCAACTGACAAGCCGGCAAGCAGACGATCAAGTGAATGCAAAATAAAACAAATTGCATACATTAATTACAACAACCACAACATTAATGCAGCTCTATGCAAATTACAACAAAACAAACGAAATGTCAAAAGTGGAACTAACGGCTCATTGAAATAAGCCGCGCCATTGCTAGTGCAAACAGAAATTTATAAATACGCGTGTATGTGTGTATGCACATATTTGTGTGTGTGTGTGTGTATGTGTACTTTGGTGGAAGGCAAGGATGAAATTCTTTGGATTTTGGCAATTGCACGAAACGTTCAATTATAATATTTGGAAAAATGTTTTTCACTATTAATCTGTGTTTATTATACATATGTAAATGTGTACGCGTATATGTATATATTCACGCCACCGTGCGACTTCAAACGTTTTGTTTTCTGAAATAAAAATGTCACCAATAACTTAATGTATCTGCTATAACTACTAAATTTAGGCAAAAGTCAGAAAAAAATAATAGTTTTTTTTATATACTTTAGGAGCAGTGCTTGGTAGTACCATTTCTTGTTTTTAGATTTGCTCTTGGCAGTAATTGAACGTCATGACCCAATAAGGGTTGATCACGCCGTTTCTTAATATTTATACGTCTTCATCTTTTTGCAGACTAGTCTTCTGAGCACACTGCCAGTGTTATTAGATCAATCCCATCTCACCGATGTTACCATTTCGGCAGAGGGGCGTACTTTGCGTGCGCATAGAGTTGTGCTCAGCGCCTGCAGGTAAAAAACACCAAGCGTAAAAACATCTTACAATAATTCCATATTTCCACAGCACTTTCTTTCTGGAGCTCTTTCGTACATTGGACACCAACAGCCATCCCATTATTATCATACCAGGCGCTTCGTTTGCAGCCATTGTGGCGCTGCTCACCTTCATGTACTCCGGTGAGGTGAATGTGTATGAGGAACAGATACCGATGTTGCTTAATCTGGCAGAGACCTTAGGCATTAAAGGGCTAGCAGATGTACAGAATAATGTGAGTGAACTCAAATTTCTTTTACCAATTTTTTAATTTTTTTTTTGTTTGAATTTTAAATGTTTTTTTAAGTTACAGAAAGGAAATAGACGCGCTGCAACCGCACCACCGGCGCCACCACCGCCCGCACATGACTTTTTCGATGCCTTGCGTAAAGAAGAGTCCGAAACACCGCCTACGCCACCGTCCCCACCAGCAGCGCCAACAACTTCTATGGCACCGCCGACGCTGCCACCACCTTTAGCCTCCACTGTACCAACGCCAAACGCGCAATTACCTTTACTTTCCGCCGCCAGCGTTCCGAACGCATTCAATTCGTCGCTACTCGGCAGCAAGCTCCCCACACCGCTTGAGAGCTTGTTTCTCAAGTCTTTGCAATTTTATCCGAATTTGCTGCCGCAACCACTTAATTTCTCACAAACAGCGCTGAATAAAACTAACGAACTGTTGGCTAAATACCAACAGCAATGCAACAGTTTGTACCAGGATGCGCTGAGCTTGTCCGCCAAGGAGATTTCTCCAACATTCGCCGCTGAAGACTATGCACCAACTGGCCCAGTATATACTGGCGCGATCGATGAGGGTGGCCTTGGTTATGGCGCTGCAAAACGTTTCTGTTTGGGTGAAAAACAGCGCACATTAACCTTATCAATGGCGCAGCCGCAAATGACACATCTGCACTATCAGCATCAACAGCCACATGCACCGTCCCCACAAGCACATATGCAACACACATTAACACATACACAAACGAATTCACCACAACAAAAAGACATTAAACGTATTGATAAGATTGTCGAAAATTTACGGAAAACGCCAACAGTCAGCGAAAGCGGCTTGTTGGGCGCACCTTGTGCGCCACAAACAATACAGCAGCAGCGTCAATCGCCACAACAGCCGCACCAAAGCTTACATGGTCAGCTCCAGACGCCGTCGCTGAGCGTGAAGACATCGTTGGGCGGCAACTATACGCCCACCTTGCAATCACCACATTTGAGTGGCAACAAATCCCCTTGGTCTTTGTCTGCGACAGCATCTTGCGGTACGACGCAGAGTCAATTACAGCAGCAGCACCAACAACACGCACACGCTATGCCTTATTTGAGTGCCGAGGAGCAGGTGGCCAAACTGCAGCAACAAATCGATCAGTTTGCCAGCTGCAGCCGTAGTGTGGCAGCAACTGTAACTACTGCATCGGGCGCCGGTAGTAGTGAGCTTAAAGCTAACGCGCAGTCCGATACGAATTTATTGGGTACATTGACAGATAAGCCGTCCGCGGGCTCAGTACATGCGTCCAACACGTCGAATGCGCCGAATACAAACACACAGCAGAAGCCACCGTCCAACTCGAAATTGTATGCGACCTGCTTTATATGCCACAAACAGCTCAGCAATCAATATAATTTGCGTGTACACCTGGAAACCCATCAGAATGTACGGTGAGTTAAGCTTGTCATGCTGATTTCTTATAAATTTGTTTATAACGCACACTTTTCTGCCACCAGTTATGCTTGCAACGTCTGTTCGCATGTGTCGCGCAGCAAGGATGCGTTGCGGAAGGTAAGAAAGCCATCTTATCGTTTCAAAACTCAATATTATATTATTTCTCTATAAGCATGTCTCTTATCGCCATCCCGGCGCACCTTCGCCCTGCGAATCGGAAGCGCGTCGCAAACGTGCCTCTAAAGCGGCTAATGCCTCACCGCCCGTCATTACAGTCTCCACGCCAACAAGCGCAAGCAATTCAAGCAGCGGCAGCGTCACGCCCACCTCGCCTGCAGCCGCTGTCAGCGCACCATTTCAGTTGAATCCATTAAATACGATTGTCACGTCAGCTGCAACTACAGCGGCCAACTCAAGCGGCAGCACGTCTGCTTTGGAAGCGGAAGCGCAAATGGTCGCGGCAGCACAATTGAGTTCCGCGTATATGTTTCTACCAAATCAATTTCACTTAGCGGCTGCAGCAGCTGCTGCTGCACAACAACAACAGCAGCAGCAGCAACAACAACAATTACATAATGCCATAGATGCTTCAAATACAGCAGCAACTGTTGCAGCTCTAAGCTTTGCGGCAACTTCGGCAACATCTGCGCCAACGACTACAACAACAGCGAATGGTGAAGATAGTGCTGCCAGCTTATTGGCCAGTAATATGCATATAAAACGTGAACCCAGTCCAGCTATAAGCAGTCCGGGGATGCGGCAACAAATTAGCAGCAATAATAATAGCCTGGGCGGCGGAGCGGATATGAGTCCAACAAATTTGCCTTAATTAAAATGGTTGCGTTACCTATTTTAGACACACCAAACACATTTTAGAGCACTTTTTCCACACTTACTAACTTAGTTATGTCTATTTTAAATTTGTCACAATTTTATTAGCGTTATTATTGCTTATTTAGTAGTTAAAAAGCGGCTATTAGACATAAGTCCTATAAAGACCTTTGATTTCACGTCAATCCAATCGTTAGCCCCGGCTGTGATAATTAGTGAAAACCGTTTAATTAATTTATTTTATTCAATAACTTTTAGTTATTTCTTATATATAATAGTAGCAATCAGTTAGCACTTAAGTATTGCCACTGATATCCGAACAGCTGTCACTGTTTGTTTACATTTTCGCAGTTTTCAAAGTCAAATATCCGTAATACAAAGGCTATATTACTTAATGCTATACTTTTCCGAAGAATTTAAGTTGTATAGGCTCGATAGCAACAAAAAGTCGAGTTTACCGATAGTTCGCCAAATTTGCGTCTATCTGCTTTGCAGTTTGCGAGAGGCCTATTGTCACAGCAAGCACATATTTGGTTATTGATTAGCTATCTTTCACTTTATATCTATAACCACTTTATATACACCACTTCTATTTGCTTAAGACACCGTAAATCTACTTCTACATACTTCTAACAGAGAAATTAACACTTGGGCTAATCTGCTTGGCCGTTTCTTAAAGACGTTAAGAAACACACAGCAGACTCACATTATGCACTATAGAGTTATACACTTCTTCTAGTTGCGATTTCACACAATAAATTTGTTAAAAATACACTTTGCACACTCTTAACAAAAAAAAAAATCACAAATGTATGCAAATCTGCAGCGCCGTCTTCCAAAGGCTTTTGTTGGCAGCAACCACACATTCATATTTCGGTTAATACATTTCGGAATATAAATTTTTGCTTTTAATGCACAGCACTTCTGTTAATCTATGAATATTATAGAGTAAATTTAACGCTCGCTATATAAACTTTTAACACAAAAATTAACAGTTTATCTAAATGCACTGTATAAATAACGCTTTTTGACAGCGAAAGGAAGCGGAAAGTTGTAAATTTGAAACAGTGCTGCCATACGGGCAAGTGGTGATATTTAATTCGTCAGGCTTGCATTTCCCCTATAACAAAATTTTGAAATGTGGTGGATTTGTCTTTTAATAAAATTTACCTATTTTAAATTTCTGATATGCCATTGGAGGGATATTATTGGAGGCTTTTTTGGTGAGACACACAATAATAAATATTTGTTTGACCATAAACTGAGCGTTTCGTTAACTAAAAAAATATAAAAATAATATAGTTAAATTATTTTCAATTTGCTATAAATAAATGAATAAATTTATTTATTAAAATACTTTTTCATACTAACATTTATTTACTAAAAATTGTAATTTAATTGTTATTGCAAGATATCGAAAGACAACTAAGATAATCAATTTGAAAATTTACACAGCCATAATACACATCTACAGATGTACATATGTATTTGAATAATGCACACATATTAAATAGGCTTCACAAAATTACGCTAAATTAGACTGTAAGTTAAAAAGGCACATTTTTATACAAAGAAAATGACTTTTATACACAAACAACACACACAAAAAGACAAAATAAATTTATTTAATATTTTAAATTTTATATATGTATGTATAATTAGACATGTTTAATAAAAATATGAATTTTGATATGGTGCTTTCATTTAAAGGAGCGCAAATTCTTGAAACTGTAAATGTGAGTATATCAGAAAAAATATAAAATGCATTTCTTTGTGTAGTTAAAATATTTTTCTAATTTAGTTTAAAATTCAGCGGATTCGCACTAATTATATAGATAAATGAATTTCACCTCAGCCTAGTTGAAAAAGACCAGATAACTTGTAACAGAGAACGTAAAACGTTATTGTATGTTCTCTGGTCCGAGTGCCACACGATTTCAATATTAACTTCAAATTGAAAATTGAAAATAATAAAAAAAACCACATAGGTAAAAAAAATTAAAATTAGAAAAACTAAAAAATAATAAAAAATTAATTAACAGCATGATTTAAAACAAATAGGTGCTAAGTTCGATGGTAACTGAACATTCAACTTTTTTGCAACTTGCAAGGACTAAAGCAGGGCAAATCCCTTAAGCTGTAGCAAAACTTTATATTACACTAGAAAAAACGTTAACTTCAGCTATACTTTAACTTTAAAAGGATATTTCTTAGCAATTAACATTAAGCCAAGTCCACACCCTTTGTTTACCTTTAGCCAAGTCGCCCGCCTTTGTTTACCTTTAGCCAAGTCGCCCACCTTTGTTTACATTTGTGGTCACCGACCCTTTTGTTTATATTTTATGGGGTCAATGAACCCTTTGTTTACATTATGAGGTTAATGACCGTATTGTTTACATTTTGCCTAGGTCAATGAATCCTTTGTTTACATTTTATGAGGTTAATGACCCTTTTGTTTATATTTAGCAAAGTCCACAACCATTGTTTACATTTAGCCAAGACAACAACCTTTGTTTTGTTTAGTGGCGGTCAACCGACCCTTTTGTTTACATTTTATGGTGTCAATGAACCTTTGTTTACATTATGAGGATTAATGACTTATTGTTTACATTTTGCCTAGGTCAATGAACCTTTGTTTACATTTTATGAGGTTAATGACCCTTTTGTTTATATTTAGCAAAGTCCACAACCATTGTTTACATTTAGCCAAGACAACAACCTTTGTTTATCGTTTGCGGTCACCGACCTTTTGTTTACATTTTATGGTGTCAATGAAACCATTGTTTACATTTATGAGGTTAATATTTAGCAAAGTTCAACAACATTGTTTAATTTAGCAAGACAAACAACCTTTGTTTAACGTTTGCGGTCACGACCCTTTTGTTTACATTTTAGGTGTCAATGAACCTTGTTTACATTATGAGGTTAATGACCTTATTGTTTACATTTTGCCTAGGTCAATGAACCTTTGTTTAACATTTTATGAGGTAATGACCCTTTTGTTTATATTTAGCAAAGTCCACAACCATGTTTACATTTAGCCAAGACAACAACCTTTGTTTACGTTTGCGGTCACCGATCCTTTTGTTTACATTTTATGGTGTCAATGAACCCTTGTTTACATTATGAGGTTAATGACCTTATTGTTTACAATTTTGCCTAGGTCAATGAACCCTTTGTTACATTTTTATGAGGTTAATGACCCTTTTGTTAATATTTAGCAAAGTTCACAACATTGTTTAATTTAGCCAAGACATAGACAACATTTATACGTTTGTGCGGTCACGACCCTTTGTTTACATTTTATGGTGTCAATGAACCCTGTGTTTACATTATGAGGTTAATGACCTATTGTTTACATTTTGCCTAGGTCAATGAACCACTTTGTTTACATTTTAATGAGGTTATGACCTTTTGTTTATATTTAGCAAAGTCCACACAACCATTGTTTACATTTAGCCAAGACAACACCTTTGTTACGTTTGCGGTCACCGACCCTTTTGTTTACATTTTATGGTGTCAATAACCCATTGTTTACATTATGAGGTTAATGACCTTATTGTTTTACATTTGCCTAGGTCAATGAACCTTTGTTTACATTTTATGAGTTAATGACCTTTTGTTATATTTAGCAAAGTTCACAACCATTGTTTATATTTAGCCAAGACAACAACCTTTGTTTAAGTTTGCGGTCACTGACCCTTTTGTTTACATTTTATGGTGTCAATGAACCCTGTGTTTACATTATGAGGTTAATGACCTTATTGTTTACATTTTGCCTAGGTCAATGAACCCTTTGTTTACATTTTATGAGGTTAATGACCCTTTTGTTTATATTTAGCAAAGTCCACAACCATTGTTTACATTTAGCCAAGACAACAACCTTTGTTTACGTTTGCGGTCACCGACCCTTTTGTTTACATTTTATGGTGTCAATGAACCCATTGTTTACATTATGAGGTTAATGACCTTATTGTTTACATTTTGCCTAGGTCAATGAACCTTTGTTTACATTTTATGAGGTTAATGACCTTTGTTTATATTAGCAAAGTCCACAACCATTGTTTACATTTAGCCAAGACAACAACCTTTGTTTACGTTTGGGTCACCGACCCTTTGTTTACATTTATGGTGTCAATGAACCCATTGTTTACATTATGAGGTTAATGACCTTATGTTTACATTTTGCCTAGGTCAATGAACCCTTTTTTATTTTATTAATTTAGAGGTTAATGACCCTTTGTTTATATTTAGCAAAGTCCACAACCATTGTTTACATTTAGCCAAAACAACAACTTTGTTTACGTTTGCGTCACCGACCCTTTGTTTACATTTTATGGTGTCAATGAACCCATTGTTTACATTATGAGGTTAATGACCTTATTGTTTACATTTTGCCTAGGTCAATGAACCTTTGTTTACATTTTATGAGGTTAATGACCCTTTTGTTTATATTTAGCAAAGTCCACAACCATTGTTTACATTTAGCCAAGACAACAACCTTTGTTTACGTTTGCGGTCACCGACCCTTTTGTTTACATTTTATGGTGTCAATGAACCCATTGTTTACATTATGAGGTTAATGACCTTATTGTTTACATTTTGCCTAGGTCAATGAACCCTTGTTTACATTTATGAGGTTAATGACCCTTTTGTTATATTTAGCAAAGTCACAACCATTGTTTACATTTAGCCAAGACAACAACCTTTGTTTAGTTTGCGGTCACGACGACCTTTTTTACATTTTATGGTGTCAATGAACCCTTTGTTACATTATGAGGTTAATGACCTATTGTTTACATTTTGCCTAGGTCAATGAACCCTTTGTTTACATTTATGAGGTTAATGACCCTTTGTTTATATTTAGCAAGTCCACAACCATTGTTTACATTTAGCACAACGTTTACAACAACCATTGTTTACATTATGAGGTTAATGACCTATTGTTTACATTTTCTAGGTCAATGAACCTTTGTTTACATTTTATGAGGTTAATGACCCTTTTGTTTATATTTAGCAAAGTCCCAACCATTGTTTACATTTAGCCAAGACAACAACCTTTGTTTACGTTTGCGGTCACCGACCCTTTTGTTTACATTTTATGGTGTCAATGAACCCTTTGTTTACATTATGAGGTAAATGACCGTATTGTTTACATTTTTCCTAGGTCAATGAACCCTTTGTTTACATTTTATGAGGTTAATGACCCTTTTGTTTATATTTAGCAAAGTCCACAACCATTGTTTACATTTAGCCAAGACAACAACCTTTGTTTACGTTTGCGGTCACCGACCCTTTGTTTACATTTTATGGTGTCAATGAACCCTTTGTTTACATTATGAGGTTAATGACCTTATTGTTTACATTTTGCCTAGGTCATGAACCTTTGTTTACATTTTATGAGGTTAATGACCCTTTTGTTTATATTTAGCAAAGTCCACAACCATTGTTTTTACGTTTGGCGGTCACCGACCCTTTTGTTTACATTTTATGGTGTCAATGAACCCTTTGTTTACATTATGAGGTAATGACCTTATTGTTTACATTTTCCTAGGTCAATGAACCCTTTGTTTACATTTTTGAGGTTAATGACCCTTTTGTTTATATTTAGCAAGTCCACAACCATTGTTTACATTTAGCCAAGACAACAACCTTTGTTACGTTTGCGGTCACCGACCCTTTGTTTACATTTATGGTGTCAATGAACCCTTTGTTTACATTATGAGGTTAATGACCTTATTGTTTACATTTTGCCTAGGTCAATGAACCCTTTGTTTACATTTATGAGGTTAATGACCCTTT